AACCTGGATTCTAGGGGTCACTTGAGGATCAGATTATTGCAGCCAATCCATTGCTTGAGGCGTATGGTAACGCCAAAACTGTGAGGAATGACAACTCTTCTCGTTTTGTAAGTATGGAACAGTTTCTACACACGAGAGAAGCATTGTTACATTGCACATGTGGAGGGACATTAATGATTATGTTATTCCAAACAGGGTAAATTCATCAGAATCCATTTCAACACAGCTGGCAAACTGGCTAGTGCTGATATTGAGACTTGTAAGTAACAATCCTTATAGTGTATACAAACTACTGTAAGTAAGATTTAGCCTGGCACTGACATGATCAAAACTTGTAGATCTGCTGGAGAAGTCTAGAGTGACATTCCAGCTTGAGCAAGAGAGAGGCTACCATATCTTCTACCAGATGATGACCGCCCACAAACCAGAGCTCATTGGTAAGGAGATTAGATATTACAATTGTTTCAACCTTATTAGACTTTTACATTTATAAAAAATATCTGCTGCCATGTTTATATTTTTGGGACTCTAGAACTGGCACTCCTCACAACCAACCCCTACGACTTCCCCATGTGTAGCATGGGTAAGATAACTGTGGCCAGCATTGATGACAAAGTGGAGCTGGAAGCCACGGATGTGAGTAATTTTGAATTCAACATATTTAAATAGACTTTGTGAAACAAATGCAACATCAATACAACTCTTTTAAGAACATTTGCTTGAGCAATTATGTTTTTTGTGTCTTTTGAAACCAGAATGCTATTGATATCCTGGGCTTCACTAATGAAGAGAAGATGAGCATCTACAGGATGACCGGTGCTGTGCTTCACCATGGTAACATGAAGTTCAAGCAAAAGCAGCGTGAGGAGCAGGCTGAGCCTGATGGCACAGAGGGTGAGTATTTAATCTTAGCTCAAAGCTTAGAGCTAGGCAACAACATTGGTACATTTCTTGATAACATTGTGTTCTTCACAAATTATGATGGACATATCTGAATTATTTTTAGATGCTGACAAGGTTGCTTATTTGCTGGGTCTGAACTCCGCTGACATGCTGAAGGGTCTGTGCTATCCTAGAGTGAAGGTCGGAAATGAGTATGTCACCAAGGGACAGACAGTACCTCAGGTAAACAATTCATATCAATATTCGACTTTGTACTATTTAAAACAAAAAATGTAGTACAGATTTCATTAGGAAAAAGATATGCGATGTAAGTTGGCATTTTTTGTACTTCTGTCAATGAGTTCTAATTGAATGCTAAATTCAAGGGAGATCTTTCATTCAATTTTAGTTTTGGAATTTTAGTGCTATGTATCTTGAAAATAATATAATATACCAGTTGTATATGTCAAAAATGAAATCACATTACTGTGTTCTTTAAGGTCATGAACTCAGTGCCTGCCCTGGCCAAGTCCATCTATGAGAGGATGTTTTTGTGGATGGTCATCCGTATCAACCAGATGTTGGACACCAAACAAGCTAGACAGTACTATATTGGTGTGCTGGATATTGCTGGCTTTGAAATCTTTGATGTAAGCCTGAGTTCCAACAATTTAGCAGTTGACACTTTTCAATAAATAATAGTTCTTATTGCCTTGTAAGAGATTATAAAGATGATATGTCCTTTTGCAGTTCAATACATTGGAGCAGCTGTGCATCAACTTCACCAATGAGAAACTGCAACAGTTCTTCAACCACACCATGTTCGTCCTGGAGCAAGAGGAGTACAAGAAGGAGGGTATTATCTGGGAGTTCATTGACTTTGGTATGGACTTGGCTGCCTGCATTGAGCTGATTGAAAAGGTAAACACTTACTTTATTATATCATAAATCATATGTAACAGTTTTTGTATTTGTTATCATGTATCACTAAATGACATACCTTTTTCAACTTTTTAAAGCCCATGGGCATCTTCTCCATCCTTGAAGAGGAGTGCATGTTCCCCAAGGCCTCAGACACATCCTTCAAGAACAAGCTGTATGACCAGCATCTTGGCAAAACCAAAGCATTTGAGAAGCCAAAGCCCGTAAAGGGCAAGCCTGAGGCCCACTTCTCCCTGGTGCACTATGCTGGTATCGTGGACTACAACATCTCTGGCTGGCTGGACAAGAATAAGGATCCCCTGAATGACTCAGTCATTCAGCTGTACATGAAATCCTCAGTGAAACTGCTGGGTCTGCTGTATCCTCCAGTAGTTGAGGGTAAGATAGTAACTACAGGAAACACATTTTAAGACCAGAGATAACATATACTTTTTACTAATCAAATTTATATTTGTATTATTATTTGATTTTAACTCATCAACTATTACTTGTTTATGCTAATCTTGTGACATTCTAACAAAACATCAACAGAGGCTGGTAAGAAGGGAGGCAAGAAGAAGGGTGGTTCTATGCAGACTGTGTCCTCACAGTTCAGGGTAAGCTTTCTCAAATCAAAAATCTAATTGCTCTCTGTTTAAACAAAATCTCACAATTGTGGCATTTCATGACATGAGACACCATTATGGATTACAGGAGAACTTGGGCAAGCTGATGACTAACTTGAGGAGCACCCATCCTCACTTTGTGCGCTGTCTGATTCCCAATGAGTCAAAGACTCCAGGTGAATAGAGAATATAATTGTGATAGTCTTAATGATTGGGTTAGGTTTTGTTTGCATTGAATTAGTTTTGTATGGCTTCAATTAAGACACTTACTAATCATTAAAATCATTAATTATGAAATGTATTTTTTTACAGGACTGATGGAGAACTTCCTGGTTATCCACCAGCTCAGGTGTAATGGTGTCCTGGAGGGTATTAGAATCTGCAGAAAAGGTTTCCCCAGCAGGATCCTCTATGCTGACTTCAAGCAGAGGTATCAGTCGATATTGTAATAGGTTCATTTTTGAAGCAGATTATTCAAATGTAATGCTCCCACTGACCATAAACCTTTTGATAAAAGATACAAGGTGCTGAATCCCAGTGTCATCCCTGAGGGTCAGTTCATGGACAACAAGAAGGCTTCAGAGAAGCTGCTTGGTTCAGTTGATGTTCCTCATGACGAGTATAAATTTGGACACACCAAGGTAAGCACCTTCCCTTAACATACTAAAGATTCATTTCGAATGAAGTCAAGTGGTTCAGTTTAGTGTGTCTGATCATTTTCATATTTATTCAACATGTATATATGAACCTTAGAAACCAAAACAAAATGAAAGAAAATAGGAACAAATGTGAAACTCCCTTTAATTTAAGATATTTGGTGCCAAGGAAACACAGAAGTGAATTACTGGCACTCTAAAGAGAAAGAAGCCACCTTGTGGCAGGACTATATCAGTTCATTATACATTTTTTTTACATTTTCTTTTGTTCAGGTGTTCTTCAAGGCTGGCCTGCTGGGTACCCTTGAGGAGATGAGAGACGAAAAACTTGCATCTCTGGTCACCCTGACTCAGGCTTTGGCCCGTGGCTATATCATGAGAAAAGCGTTTATAAAGATGATTGAGAGAAGGCACGTTGCTAACAACTCATTCTCAATTGTGATTTGAGAATTCAAATATAACATCGTCTAAAAAAGCTGTTTCTTTTTTGCAGGGAAGCTATATATACCATCCAGTACAATATCCGCTCATTCATGAATGTGAAACACTGGCCATGGATGAAGGTCTACTACAAGATTAAGCCTCTGCTGCAGAGTGCTGAAACTGAGAAGGAGCTGGCAAATATGAAGGAGAACTATGAAAAAATGAAAACTGACCTGGCTACTGCCCTGGCCAAGAAGAAGGAACTGGAGGAGAAGATGGTTTCCCTTCTGCAGGAGAAGAATGATCTGAGTCTGCAAATAGCATCTGTAAGTACAAACATTATCAGACAGATGAGATATTTTTCCATGTTTGTGAATATGAAAGCGCTGACGTCTGTTTTCATAAAAATGGTCTAGGAAGGAGAAAATCTGTCTGATGCTGAGGAAAGATGTGAGGGACTTATCAAGAGTAAGATTCAGTTGGAGGCCAAACTCAAAGAGACAACTGAGAGACTGGAGGATGAAGAAGAAATGAATGGTGAGCTCACTGCCAAAAAGAGAAAGCTGGAGGATGAATGCTCTGAGCTCAAGAAGGATATTGATGACCTGGAGCTTACCTTGGCCAAAGTGGAGAAGGAGAAACATGCCACTGAGAACAAGGTTTGGAATTCATAATCTGTCCATTAAGTGAAGTGAAATGATAGTGTTCTTTGTATTGACCATTTCTTGCACACTTAGGTGAAGAACCTGACCGAGGAGATGGCCTCTCAGGATGAGAGCATTGTTAAGCTGACCAAGGAAAAGAAAGCCCTTCAGGAGGCTCATCAGCAGACTCTTGATGACCTGCAGGCAGAGGAAGACAAAGTCAACACTCTGACTAAGGCCAAGACCAAGCTTGAGCAGCAGGTGGACGATGTGAGTTTACAGTCACTTGATTTGGAAAAGCAAGATTAATCTTGAACATGATAATTAAAAATGTACACTTTTGTTTAGCTTGAGGGTTCTCTGGAGCAAGAGAAGAAGCTGCGTATGGACCTTGAGAGAACCAAGAGAAAGCTTGAGGGAGATCTCAAACTGGCCCAGGAATCCATCATGGATCTTGAGAATGACAAGCAGCAGTCTGATGAGAAAATCAAAAAGTAACTTACTTGTTCTGTTTGCACAACATACATTTTTTTAAAAGAAGTGTTCAATTGCATGAACTCAATGCACTTTATCAATTTCACAGGAAGGACTTTGAATGCAGTCAGCTCCTTAGCAAGATTGAAGATGAGCAGTCTCTGGGTGCTCAGCTCCAGAAGAAGATCAAGGAGCTCCAGGTGAGATATTGTGTTACACTTAACAATACTGCATACATTTGCTATTATGTGTAATAAAGTGAATGATTGCTAAAAGAGAAAACATCTATTCAACAGGCTCGTATTGAGGAACTGGAAGAGGAGATTGAGGCTGAGCGTGCAGCTCGTGCCAAGGTTGAGAAGCAGAGAGCTGACCTCTCCAGGGAACTTGAGGAGATCAGTGAGAGGCTGGAGGAGGCTGGAGGTGCCACCGCTGCTCAGATTGAGATGAACAAGAAGCGTGAGGCTGAGTTCCAGAAGCTCCGTCGTGACCTTGAGGAGTCCACTCTGCAGCATGAAGCGACTGCTGCTGCCCTTCGCAAGAAGCAGGCTGACAGTGTTGCTGAGCTGGGAGAGCAGATTGACAACCTCCAGCGCGTCAAGCAGAAGCTTGAGAA